TTTTTAATAAATGTCTAAAAATGACAATTTAATTTTTTTATTCTTTAATTCTTTTAAGTGCTATTTTAAAATATTAAATAATAGAAAAATGCTATTTACTTATACTTTTTTATTGTGGGGAAAGTTCTCTGAGCACCATTCACTTGCAGTGGATTCTTTTACATATGGCTCAAGCAGTTCTCGACTTTCGGTCTTAGACTAAGTATCCATTGGGTAGCTAAAACACATCCGTTGGAAAGTGAGTTAAAGTGAGAGAGCGAATCTTCCTCCCTTGATCCTTTTGATGACGATAACTTCGGCTTGAATAGGCAATTGAAAGTCCTCTCTCGACGAACAAATACCAAATTCTACAAGTCACTCATCATCATCGGCCTGCTATATGGTGCTGAGGCATAGACAATGACAACATCTGATGAGTTTGCGATACGAATTTTCGAGAGAAAGGTTCTGCGGACGATTCTTATTCCAAATGGAATTCATCGACAAGATCAACCCTACAACCCAACCTAACCTATTAAATCTGTTTGGCTGCGTTTAAGTCGATTATAGTAGCAACATCCGTCAGCATTCTAAGGTCTATATAGGAGTAATCACCTCATGGCCTTTGAGAACACGGGAAGTGGTCGTTTTCTCTTCAACATTCAGTATTGAAACGATTTACTTAAATTTTTTGTTTAACAATTTAAACAATTTTTAATAACAAAAGTTTAATATAAAAAAGATTTAGCACGCGACATACCGTTTGGTCGATTTTCTGATCAATGACAAATGATTTGAAACAGAAATTTTAAATGGTTTACTAGTTGTATTTCTTAGGTTTGGAGAGCATTTCGATTCTTTGAGACGCCTTAGCCCTTAGTGCCGATTTTGATATGGACCAAGGGTTAAGGGGTTCAAGGTAATCGTGCTCCTTTGGCTCTGCTAGTTCCAGTAGACGAGCTGTGGGTTTGGCGCGTAATGCTTTCGGTGGTATGCGATAGGGATTTTTTCGTTTATCTCTATTACCCGGCGGTTTCACTGGCGGGACCGCCAATTCCAGAAGACGTTGTGAAGCTGTAATTAACGATTATTTTATAAATATGCTTATCAATGTGTTTGTATATGCTTACGTTGGTAAGTTATCGTGTTTCTCAGTTTCTTTTCTGACGAGACTGAGTAGACCTTTCCCATGCCACGATTGATCGGCTTTGCCAACTGAATTATGCGCTTGGTTGGCCTGTAACGCTTTAACGCTGTGGTTAACCTCCATTCTGGCTTGCTCCAGTCGATTCGCTCTCGGGGATACGACAAATACCTGATTCGTCGCGATTTCATAACTATATTTCTGAATGCGCACATGTCCTAATTTAATAAACCAATCTTCTAATTGTGTTAAATTAAATAGTAACCGTGAATTTTTTGTAAGACGCTGAAAAAGTCGAGATTTTTTATGCTTTTATGTGAAAAAGTGATTTTTCATGTAATGGAAAAATTATAAAAAAAGATTGAAGTTTTTAAAGTAATATTTTGCTCATTTGTAAAAACTTTTCAGCGTTTGAGTGAAAAGGAGTTTCAAAATTCTTTTTTTTTTTTTTGTTTTGTGTGTTTTTTTCAGTATTTATACATATATACTATTATATAATCTTATAAAATGTAAATATCAAGCTAAGTTAATAATATTAAAACGAATCAATTTATATAGCTATTTAATAATTATAAATTTTTTATAACAATATTTGATGAAAATAAAATTATATAAAATATGTTTTATAAAATTTTGAAATACATTTTCATATTTAAATGCTTGTGGCAATCATTCGTCGCTGCACCACTTTAACAACATATCAACAAAGTCGGCAAAGCAGTTAAACGCGGTCATTCGATTCATTCATTTGTTTGTATTTGAAATTAATATTTTAGTTCTACAATTTCTAAGTTAAGTTTTTAAAAAATATTTTGGCATGGCTTTTTCCCAATCGCTAGACATTGGGAATAGCACTTTATTAAATTTAGACAGCCAGGCGCGTCACGCTATTGACAATGAAGTAGAAGATGAAGGACAGCAAGATGCTCCTAATAACTTAAAAAATAAAGCAGATGTGGCCGAAGTGATACAGGAATCGCCGGAACATGGTCAGCGCTCCATACATGGTTTATCTATGTTTAGCAGATCACGCACGCAGCGGCATTTATCTCGAAATAACGGCGGTAAAACATCAGTCCAAAATGCGAATGTGTCCGCAAAGGAACGGAGACGACTGCGTCGAAGCAAGTCAGACTCCACACTACAGAAACCAAACACATTAAATGGAAGTAACAAAGCAGAGAATTACACTGAACTTTTTCGTAGTGGATTCACATTTTCAATAGAAGGTGAACAGCAAAAAAGTGCTTTTGAAAAAAGTGGATCCGTGTTGCGTGTTTCACAAATCGAAGCAGCATTTGAAATTATAAAGGAGGAAAAGGCTGAAGTTGTAGAAGATCTAGATGATATGCTTCTGGAAGATGAGCAGGCTGTGAATAATGATTTAGATATGCCTATATCCTCTGAAGACTTAAAAGAACTTTTAGAAAATGTGAAAAGTATGCAAGAAGAAAAAGACAAGTCTGATATGGCTGCAAATAGCTCTTTGTCTATGTCGCAATTAGCAGATACTTCTGAATGTAAGGAGAAGCCTACAGATATAATAGATGAATTGGATGCGTGTCAGTTGGACCAAAGTAGATTTATCTGCGTTGATGCTAGCAGTTCCGAAGCAAAAGAGCAAATAGAAAAAGAATTGAAAATTAGTCGCAGGGAAGTGGCTAGAGTTGAAGAAGTTTTGCAGCCAATACAAGTGAGAAAAGATTTGAATGCTTCTTATACACAAAGAAGTACCAGTTTTTCAAACTCTTCTGTTGTAACAGTTAAAAAAGGGAACGAAAACATACGCGATTTAGAAACATTGAAACGAATTAGTGCCTGGCATTTGCCGCATAGTGTGTTAAAGGAATATGAAAAGAAAGGTGTAGTAAAAATGTTTGACTGGCAAATAGAATGTCTCAGTAATCCAAAGGTTTGTAACCATATAATAGATTTTAAAAAAATTACAGTAACTTTCCATCCAGGTTATATTTGAACACTGCAATCTGGTCTACTCTGCTCCCACATCTGCTGGTAAATCTTTAGTCAGTGAGATTTTACTCTTAAAAACCGTGCTTGAGCGTGGCAAAAAGGTGCTTTTCATACTGCCCTTCATTTCTGTGGTTCGTGAGAAAATGTTTTACCTACAAGATTTGTTAACCGTAGCCGGTTATCGTGTTGAAGGTTTCTTCGGAGGCTACACACCACCTGGCGGTTTTGATAGCATTAATGTTGCCATATGTACCATAGAGAAAGCCAATTCCATTATAAATAAATTAATGGAGCAAGGTAAACTAGACGACGTAGGCACAGTGGTCGTGGATGAAGTACACTTGATCTCCGATCCAGGGCGTGGTTATATACTGGAACTGCTAATAGCCAAGTTATTGTATATGTCACGCAAATATGGCTTCCAGTTGCAAGTAGTCACAATGTCCGCCACATTAGCCAATGTCGAGCTGCTGAAACGTTGGTTAGACGCAGAATTATATATAACAGATTTTCGACCAGTTGCGCTGCAGGAGATGATTAAAATCGGTAATAAAATATTCGATAGCAATTTACGTCCTTTGCGTGACATCAACGAACCCTTACAGGGCGCGAAATATCCACTGCCACAAATACAGAATGACAATGACCACGTAGCACATCTATGTATTGAAACATTACTAGAAAACTGCTCTGTAATTGTATTTTGTCCGTCTAAAGATTGGTGTGAAAACTTAGCTACACAGTTGGCAAGCGCCATACAATCGCTAATACGTAAAGACGACTTTTATGGTAAGCGGTTGCGCGCGCAGATAAAAAGTGACGAAATTGAGGAAGTAAAAAAGCAGTTGCGTGATATACCGACAGGTATGTTAAAATTTTATTTCCAAATGTTGGCTAGTAAATAATGATTTTATTACAGGTCTCGACACTGTGCTCGAAAGAATGATCACATTTGGCTGCGCCTTTCATCACGCGGGACTCACAAGTGAAGAACGCGATATAATCGAAGCGAGCTTCAAGTCTTGTGTTTTAAAGATAATTGTTGCGACCAGCACGCTCAGCTCTGGAGTTAATCTGCCAGCGCGACGCGTATTGATACGTACACCAATGTTTGGCGGTAGGCAAATGAGCTCACTCACATATCGGCAAATGATTGGCCGCGCAGGACGCACAGGAAAGGTAAAATTGTTGTTATATAATATTTTTAGATTTCGATATCGTTTAACTCTCTTACAGGACACTTTAGGAGAATCGATATTAATTTGCACACCTGCTAACACCCGTATTGGCCAAGAGCTGATACAAGCAGATTTGAAACCAATTTATTCCTGCCTGGAACAAGAGAATAGTGTGAGTTTTTCCAATTCAAATTTTAAAATTAATTTTAAACTTGATGAAATAAGCATAAACACATACACAGACTCACCTTAAACGCGCATTATTGGAAGTGATCTCTTCCGGTGTGGCCATCACAAAGGAAGACATTGAGAGCTTTGTGAACTGTACACTTTTGAGCGCGGAGAAGCAACTTAGTGAACAAGGAAAGGATAAAAGCAAAGATGACGAAGAACATTTTCTGCCGTTACAACAACAACAACAAGAACATTTCATAACAGATGCACTCGATTTTCTTATAGAATATGAATTTGTACGCCTGCAAGTGGATAGCGAAACAAATAGAGAAAGTTATGTAGCCACACGCTTAGGTCAAGCGTGTTTGGGTAAGTGTAAGCCCTCCAAAAAAATAAGAAAATAACTGCATAAATAACTTACAGCTGCCTCGATGCCGCCGACTGATGGCTTGATACTGTTCGCTGAACTGCAGAAATCACGACGTTGCTTTGTGCTGGAATCCGAACTGCATGCTGTGTATTTGGTGACACCTTACTCGGTGTGCTATCAAATGCAAGATCTCGATTGGTTGCTATTTCTCGATATGTGGGAGAAATTGACGCCGGCTATGAAAAAAGTTGGTGAACTAGTTGGTGTTAAGGAGTCATTTCTGGTGCGTGCTATGCGCGGGCAGTCGAAATTGGACTATAAACTCATGCAGATACATAAAAGGTTGCAGCTAGTTCTAGATTTTTGAATATGACAATGGCAATTAATAATAATTTTTGTTGTTTTCAGATTTTACACCGCGCTAGCGCTACAAGAACTGGTCAATGAAGTACCTATCAACACCGTGGCCGCTAAATATAAGTGCACGCGTGGCATGCTACAAAGTCTGCAGCAAATGTCGTCCACATTTGCCGGTATAGTCACGGCGTTTTGCAACTCTTTACAGTGGCCCACACTGTCCTTGGTTGTTTCGCAGTTTAAGGAGCGTCTCTTCTTCGGCATACATAGAGACTTGATCGATTTGATGCGTTTGCCGGATTTGAATCACAAACGTGCGCGTGCACTCTTCGACGCTGGCATCACAACGCTGGTAGATTTAGCAAACGCTGATATTTTCGAAGTCGAAAAGGTTTTATATAACGCGCTGAGCTTTGATTCAGCCAAACAGCATGATAATGAAGCGGATTATGAAGCGCTGCAAAGAAACCAAGCGCGGGAATTTTTCATAACGGGCAAAGTGGGTTTGACAGTAGCCGAAGGCGCCAAATTGCTAGTACAAGAAGCACGTATTTTTGTACAATATGAAATCGGTGTAGGTGGCATTAAGTGGACGCAGGAACGTGCAAATGAAGGGAGTTCAATGAATAGTTTACACATGTCATGCGAAGAGAATGAAAAGGAGCATGGCGTTAAACGTAAAAGTCTGGAGCATGGAAAAGAGTCTGAGGTAACGCCACCAAAGTTGAAAAGACAAGAGAATGAGGCGAAACAGCATTCTATATTAAATGAAAAACCGTCAACGAGTAAAAATGCTTTAATTGCGTTAAGGCAGCGAGAACTGTTGCGGGAAAATTCCAGTTTAAACAGCAAACAAAAACAAGAAAAAGCTGATGACACAAAAATATTGACAGCTCAATCAAATAAAACATGCAGTAGAGAAAAACCCGTTATAATCAATGCACAGAGCAAAAATGGGGTTTTAGTTGTTGCAACTGCTGCCAAAAATATTAACGCCGAAGGTAATAAAGAAAATCTAGGTACTAGCACCGTCACCAAGATATCAGCAACGAGCGAGAAAGCCAAAATTTTGCAAATCAAAAATAAAGTTGTAGATAAAAATAAATTTGATGAAAAATGTGCGAAAAATGTTCCACAAAACTCGAAAATCGTTGCTACAGACGTTAATTTGAAAACAGCGAAACATGAACCTGCCCCAAAAGCAATAATTATTGAGACAAAAAAGTATACGCTACGCAAATCTAATGAACCTCTAGCGATTTCAAAGCCCGCAACAAATGATAGTGCAATATTAATACCAAATTCGAAAAATAATGCAAACGGATACACTCCCACAACTTTGCAGCAAACAGCAAGCAACAAAAATAAACCCAACTCGGTGAAGCAATCGCCACAAGCAACACAGGTTATAAGCAGAGGACCGCGTCGTAGTCCACGTAACCATCAACGAAATTCGAATGTCATAAATACTGCGGAAACCAAACCGTCACCACAAACATACAATGCCAACAAAAATTCCACGAGCACAGAGAAACACTTTGACCAATCACTTTTCCTCGCGGACGACTCCTTCGAATTGAATACTGGTATCAATGCTGCGATTGAAGCAGCAAAGCCGCACAATGTTGCTTCTACCAACTCATCAATTACAGCCAATAAAGAAAATGACGACGAAATTGCCGAATCGCAGCAAATTGTACTAGCTGTGATCGATTCACCCGTGCCGGCGAAGCATTCAGTGCATGCCTCACGTCTGCTGCGCACAACACAACGCTTAAGAACCGCGCACAAAAGCAGTGTAACGAAGGATGCCGCTGCCACAAACTCGCATCGCTCTAGTTCAATAGAAGTGTCAGATTTATCGCTGGAGAATTCACTGCTTCAGAATCCTTTGCAACTGAATGCATCGCATATTTTGAATTGCACCAAGGTTGATGACGCCTCCACCAATTTTAAACGTCTTGAGATTGTTGACATATGTGGTGACCAGAAACTCTTCAATGCCGCGCTACGTGAGCTCATGGCGGTTAAACGTTTCGGTTTCTGTATTGGCTTGCAACAGCAGGAGAGTAAATGCAAACCGCTAATTGGTGGCAATTTGCTAATAAATCAACGCGCCGGCAGCGAAAATGAGGCGCAACAAGCGGTCGCAAAAGAGTTTCAAATCGACGATGATACATATTTAGCTGGTTGTGCTTTTGGTGTCGTAGAAAATGTAGTTTATTATATGAACATGCAGCCAGAGGGCACTTGCGCCAATGTGACTACCGAAATGAAATGCAAATTCTTATCCTCACTGCTAACCACCGGTAAATGCACGCTACTCTGTGTGGATGCTAAAGAGCAGTTGAAGATATTGTACCGTGTTTTGGGTGAACTCAGCGAGCTGCACGTAGACCTGGAGGATCCCAAGGAGGCCAATTGGCTGCTGCAGCCGGATAAATTCATGAGTTTCCAACAGATGGTAAGCTAACAACAATTAAACTCATCGATAAAAATATAAGTTGTGACGTAGAACCGGTTTATGTGTTATTATGAACGGTATTATTACCAAAGTAAGTGCTTAATCTCTGTCCACTTTTACTCGTCCTGCGTGCAAAGAGATTCGGCATTACCCTAACATCTCTTTGTATGGCGCACTAAACCTACTCTTTTAACATCCTTCTCCCTTTGTTGCAACCCAGTCGGTACAAACAACATTTGAACTACAAATCAATATTAACATTTATGGTTTTTTATACCCTGAACAGGGTATATTCATTTTGTCACGAAGTTTGTAACACCCAGAAGAAAGCGTCAGAGACCCTATAAAGTATATATATAAATGATCAGTATGTTGAGCTGATTCGATCTGTCTGTCCGTCTGTCTGTATATATACGAACTAGTCCCTCAGTTTTTAAGATATCGTTTTGAAATTTTGCAAACACCATTTTCTTTTCAAGAAGCTACTCATTTGTCGGAACTGCCGATATCGGACCACTATAACATATAGCTGCCATATAAACTCAATGATCGTAATCAAGTTCTTGTATGGAAAACTTTCACATTTGACAATGTATCTTCACTAAAGTTGGCACAAGTTATTTTCTATGGCGACAATATAATATCCGAAGAAATTGTTCAGATCGGTTAACTATAACATATAGCTGCCATACAAACTGAACGATCGGAATCTAGTGCTGGTATGGAAAACTTTTGCATTTAATAAGATATATTCGGTATAGATTATTTTCTAAGACAACAATATAATCTCCGAAGAAATTGTTCAGATCGGTTAACTATAACATATAGCTGCCATATAAACTGAACAATCGGATCAAGTTCATGTATGGAAAACTTTCACATTTGACGTGGTATCTTCACGAAATCTGACTTGGATTAGTGCTTAAGGTAATAATATAATCTCCGAAAAAAATTTTCAGATCGGATTACTATAGCATACAGCTTCCATACAAACTGAACACATAATTACTAACAGAAATGCACCTGTGAAGGGTATTTAGCTYCGGTGCAACTGAAGTTAACGTTTTTTCTTGTTTTTTTTTTCTTTTGCAGACTCACCAATTCGCGCCGGAATGCACAGCACTCACCAGCTTATGTGGCAATGGACGCGGTTATGGTAGTTACGGCCTGGATACAGTTAGCACTATTAGGGCTAAGGTTAGGTAATGCAAAATATTTATTATTTGATTTTTCATTGAAATGTTTGCATAAATATTTTAATAAAAAAAATTAACCACAGATGTTCAGTGGAGGCTTGCGTTACGGTACATATACTGAAAACCCAAATAGAAAACCTAAAACGTATCGGTTCAGGCCAATTGTATAAATTTTTTAAAGGTTAGTTTTTTTTCGTGAATTGTTTTGTTAAAAAGAATATCGTTAAAATTTTGTGTTATTTGTTAGAACTACAAATGCCTTTGCAGAATTCACTTTGCAATATGGAATTGATCGGCTTTCCAGCGAATGAGGCTGCTTTGCGGAAAATTTACCAACAAATGCTGGAAACGATGAAAAAACTCGAATTGAAAGTCTACGAAATGCATGGTGGCAGATTCAACTTGGGCTCTTCGAGTGCGGTGGCAAAGGTAATGCACAACGAGTGCAATTCTTAGTGACAAAATTAGTATTGCTAACTATGAACATACATTTTTTTTTTTTTAATTTTGAGTCTTAAATAATTCTGAGCATTTCAATTTTAGGTACTTGGTCTGCACCGCAAACCCAGCGGCCGCGTGAGCACTTCCCGCCAAATACTTGAAAAGATCGATTCACCAATTTCGCAAGCCATCATATCCTATCGCAAAATAAGCACTGCATTATCCAAAAATATACAACCACTTTTGAAATGCGTGCAAAATGATAGAATACATGGTCAGAGTATAACCTATACGCAGACTGGACGTATTTCCATGACTGAGCCCAACTTACAAAATGTGGCCAAAAACTTTGTGGTCGCTGTGGAAGGTTCGTAAATACGGAATTGAAATCTTATGATTTAATAATAATGAATTTTATATAAAAGGCAGCGAAAATGTAATTATATCCTGTCGCAGCGCATTTTTCCCAACGCAAAGTGGACGCTGCTTGCTCTCCGCAGATTTTTGTCAGCTTGAAATGCGCATACTCGCGCATCTCTCACAGGTGCGCTTAAGTTTTTTTAAGCTAATAATGTCACTTACAATAAAAATTGTATTACCAAACAGGACGCAGCGCTGCTGAAAGTTATGAACACCGATCGCGACATTTTCAACGCAATAGCAGCGCGCTGGCACAAGCTGGCAGAAAATGCTGTTTCCACGGAATTGCGCGATGGCACCAAGCAGATTTGCTATGGTATAGTTTATGGCATGGGCATGCGCAGCTTGGCCGATGCCTTGAAGTGTACCGAACAGGAAGCAACGTCACTATCACAGCAATTCCATTTGGCCTATCCGGGTATAAGGTGAATGCTTGCATTTTTTCGGTTTATCAAACATATTTTAATCTGTTTTCAATTTTTTTTAGAGCTTATACCGATAAAGTGGTAAAATTTGCACGCAATAATGGTTATATTGAAACCATCACGGGTCGTCGTCGTTATCTGGAGCACATAAACAGCGGTGAACCACAGCAGAAAAGTATATACATAAGCTAATTGATTGCGAAAGGTATTTATTTATATATTTTACATTTCATTGCATTTCAGAACACGCTGAACGTCAGGCCATCAATTCGACGATTCAAGGCTCTGCCGCCGATATAGCTAAGAATGCTATTCTACGTATGGAGAAGAACATCGAGAAGTACCGCGACAAATTGGGCATAACTAGCGCGAACGCTGTGCGTTTTGTCTTGCACATACATGACGAGCTGGTGTTCGAGTTGCCCACTGAGAAGGCGAAAAAAGTGGCCAAAATCTTAAGCCTCACTATGGAGAATTGCGTTAAACTAAGCGTGCCGCTCAAGGTCAAACTCAAAATGGGCCGGAGTTGGGGTGAGCTGCAAGATATTAAACTGTAATAACTTGTCAGCGAGTTTTTATTGATATTTAAAATAATATTTACTTTTTTAATTTGCCAATTTTATATATCATTCATTAAGTCACACAAATTATTTATATACTTGTAATTTATTCAATAAACTCACTACAGTAATTGTATGCTACTCGTACTACTTTTAAATGCAATAGATAGCGATTATAGCTTTGATTAGCTTTTGATTGTAAGCATGCAATAGTGCAGCAACGCAATGATTATTATATGTCACTACTAAGCATATTTGATATGTTTTAACTTTTTCAACTTTTTTGCTACTTTCTCTTTTACATACGCGTTCTAAGCATATTATATTCAACTGTCATTTGAATTTTGTTATTTGCGTTTGCGCCCACTTAAGCCTTATTTAAACCCTCCTTTTCAGCCCACTCAGTCCAAGAGCCGGGATAGTATTTCGCGCTAAATGCAATTAGAAATAATACAAAGTTTAATTGCTATATTAATGTCTAGTATATAATGTTTACTTACTTTTTGTAACCATTTGCCAGCGCCAAGTCGTAAGCTCGCTTAGCGCGTCCACCAGCYTGACAAGAGAATATCAAAACTGTCTCCGTGCTCGGCTTGTCACGATTAAATGCCGTTTTGAAATCAATTTCAGACATTTGGAAAGCGGCTTCCAGATCCGGCACTGTGRGAGGATTAAAATAGCAAATTTAGTTTATTTGTCTTTAAGAAGTTTCATTGATTGCAGCACCCTTTGATCGACTATTTCTTGAAACAAAATTCSGCTTTTAATAAATTATTAAGTTTCTTCAAAATTGTAGATAAAAACGTATTATTTTTGATTTATAGATTTGGACATACATATATGGGTGAGTTGTCAACTTTTGTTTTGTTTACTGTCAAAATGAATGGACCTTGACCTTGATTTTTAGCAAATACCGTTTCTATCCCTTTTTTTCAAAATAAGTGTTGATCTGGATGATTCAATATACATATACATATATGTATGTATTTAATTTGTGTTACTGGTTTTCCGTCTTGCAAATTTTAATGGGAATTATAATTGTATGGTGCAGTAGATAACAATTATAATTTTATGGCTCAGTAGATAACAATTTTCCCCGGTGATTTATGTGCTTTTGGCGGGACTTTTCTCTAGTGATAACTAAGGATGTCATTTATCGTTTATCGCATATACGGCATGGGCAGATTAAAGTTCGTGTTACATATTTTTATATTTATTACAATCGATAAATATTAGTATGGTGCCTTGGTTTTTAACTTTTAACAGATGTGAGTACTTTACAGGGTAAACGCGACTCATTCTCAACCCATTAATATGATTCCTAAAAATAATAAATAAATAACTATTCGCCTATAGTTACAATAATTTAGCTATTCAATTCAACACCTTGATTGTGACACCTTTCAGCAACCAGGATATAGTACACATTTTGTTATACATATCCACTTAGTTGTTGCTTTTTAAAATTTCTGTACCCCTTTAAAATATGCATATACTTACTTGGTACGCTAATTGCTCCTGGTATCACGCCAGTTCTGGCCAACTCGTCCTTGTTTCTCACGTCAATCACGAAAGTGTTCGGCTGATTGGGCACATCTTTGACTTCTTCATAGGTCACAGTAGCCATTCTTACAATTTATCAAAAACTTCGTTTGGTTTCGCTTACTTGGCAGCTGTTAAAATACTAGAATTCAATTGTATTGCTTGTGGTCTTTATAAATATTTAATCAAATGTTTAGTGATTAATTTGTTGCTTTGTGGCTTTTCTAATTGGTGTGTTTCCGATAAGATATGTGTTGCTCGTTGTCAGTGGTAATTTCGYTTGAACCGGCTGCGCTTTGGCGTGTGTGTGTGATGTGACAGATATTGGTGTTTTTAACACTGATAATTATCGGTGCAAGATTTTCTCTGTTGGTGACTTTTGTTGTTGCATATTAGTAAAAGAGTTGAAAGCTCAAAGCTCGAGCGTTAGGGACGTCCAATTGTGACACGTATAAAAAATTAGATTATGCGCATAGCTTCTTCAATTTAGATAGAGCTTTTAATATATTTTGTAAATTACTTCTCCGCATCGATAAATTAATAGTTTTGCTTAGCGATTAAAAATCAGAATAGTGTTGCTGCCAGTGTTTTWGGGTCGGTACTTAACCCAACTTTTTAATGCCTCACCTGCCGGAGTTTCTAAGGCACAAATGCAGGATTTTTATCCAATCAGTCTCTACAAGCGAAACGGKCACTGTTGTTGTTGCAGCATCAGAAAATAACCCTACAATAATTTAGAATGCTGCCGAGTTGAGAGTGCTTGACCAGATAAAAATCCGGGYCCGTTTTGAGTATATAGACCCTACTGTCGTGAGATATATATTCGAGTAACGACTGTCACTGTTTCACGTCTAAACATGAACACATTGCGTTCAAATTTTGACGGCTCCCTAATTTCCAGAAATGTCCCAGTCAAACTGCTCCCAAGCGCTTTAACGCCTCTAGATCATTTTCTCTGGGARTATGTCAAATCAAATGTTTACGCCAATCAACCATAACGCTCAAAAGCTTGAAGACAACRTTCGACGCACTATAGTCGAAATTCCAGTCGAACTACTGCACTGAGTAGTGTCCATTTGGCCGACAATTTGTTCAAATCATAAATGGCATAAAATATCTGCATAACAAAAACACACAACCTATTTTTTGCAAAATTTGAGCGTTTTATTTCATTTTAATCACGTTGTTCTCGTTGGTAGATCTTATTCCTTCCTTTTGGGTGTTACAAACTTCATGATATAATTTTTCATCATTTCTCCCCGCACATCAAACCAATAAAAAGAGCTCTGAATTCATGTCACCTTCTTCTTCTTTATAYGCGATTATCGCCGAGCTGACAATAACGCGCCAGTCCTTATTTTTCGCTGTTTGATGCCAATTGGAGATTCCAAGTGTAACCAGGTTCTTATCCACCTAGTCTTTCCAATGGAGTGGAGTTRAGTTCTTACGCTTCCAATGCTTCCTACGGCAGATTAGGAGCTTTTCCATCCATTCGAAAGCCAAACAGTGAAAAGGAAGATTCATGACACCTACACCTACTACATTGGTTTATCGGTTTCCATTCTGATTCAGTCAACTATCTGATTCTACAACAACCCTGAATGAATAYCATAGATTTTTTAAAATTTATTTTCGAAAAAGTTTTATTATTTTTATTTAATATCTATATAAAATTTCATTTACATACTTTGTTTACAACTTTTTATTTTTATTTTATACTTGTAATACATACATACATACATATTTATATATGTGCTACATACAGAAATATGTGGCAAATTGTATATAATATGTAAAAATGTATACTTTTATTGTKTTTTGCTAAATAATTTAAACAATTGCAATTTATTTAAGGCAATTTATGTTCTGCAATTGCAATTAGACTTCAAAACTTCAATCAAATTGAAATACATACTTATACGCTTGTAAAAGATTATAAAAATATTGCATTCAGAAAAAAAAACAAAAAATTGTTAAAAAATTGCACAAAATGTGGAAAACAAGCAAAAATTTATAACCTACAAACTGGAAAGAAATGCGCAAAACTCAGCTGATGTGTGCAACTGAGCCAAAATCAATGCGAGAACTGTGAAAGCTACCCTTTTTTGTTTTCTTACATATGCAATGGATTTATTTAGGTTTGTAACATGTTTTTCSTGTGTGTGCATACGACATTGCGGTTAAAAGTGCAAATAATTGCATTTATGGTTTGTATGTATCAAATAAATTTTCACTTTAATTTTTTAATTTCTCATTTGCTGTACACATTTACATTTAGTTCAGATAGTTTCATTTCGAACAAAACTTCATCATTTATATTATATATATATGTACATATATACCATATATAAATATAAAACGAATTTTATAAAGAAAGCGCTTAGATATTTATGCATGCATGTATGTGTGTATGTATATGCAACTAAAGTGTGTTTCACAAACTTTTTTSTGTTCGTTTCAATTTGTTTTGTATATTTAGTTAATATTGACGCATATGCATATGAAATATCCAAAAATATAATATATACATATATGCTGCAGTTACATTCACATGATATGCGGAGGGTACGCGTTTAAAATTCAAATTAAAATTTTACTTAATATGCAATATAATATACATACATATGTAACTAGTGTCATATCTTACATACAATGCAAAGCATGCAGATCATATACACCTAGTACATACATACAYATGCACACAWGTATTTAGTGAATTTAGCGCTTAGTTGGGTATACAAAAGTTGGGAACGTTCCTTGCGTATATGTTTGTATGCATGCATAGTTAACAATGCACTTTTAACGACGCTTTGTGCATACCGATTGCCAGCGCTTACATAAGCGACAACAAATTATATATACGTATATGTAGCTGTATAAACCATATAAATAGGAGTAGTTTACATAGTAGCTTTAGGTGACTTAAGCGCATAGTACCATTTTCGTATAACATTAACAGATTAGCAACGATATCATTCATAGGAAACTGAAGCGAGGTGAAACGTACGCACGTCATAACGCCAATTAAGTTGTGAACAAACAAAAAAGAAATGATAAAGTAAAAATTTGTTTTCTTAATAACACTAGCAACGTTTCGCCGGTGGCACCAAGTGTTCGGGCAGCACATTCGGMAGTTCGTTGCCTTCCAGTTTCACATTGATTAAGTGCAACGCGAGTGCGAATTCGTCCGAATCCAGGAAACCATCACCGTCGACATCGGACAGCTTCCAGATTTTGCTRAGCACCGAATTGGGCAGCTTCGATTTGATGAGTTCTTGCTTCGCAGCTGTAAAGTGAAGTGTTTTTTTTATTAACATTATTTTATCTTTTTCAAATGAAAGTAAATTTTAGACTTACTCGCTCCCGATATGCGCCCATCCACTGGCCCCAGCGCGTTGAAGATGGCATCCGTGCGTGGCTTATCGCGATCGCAGATCCAGTCGTGTTCGCCGAAACCAGCGTCGATGCCCTCGCCCTTCATGTAGCCGAACGGTGAGACGTGATCGTCGATTACACCAGCAAAGGCGCCACCTAAAAGCATTAGATTGAAATTTATATGAGAAAAGCGTATTTTTGGTAAAATMAAAATAATATGTAAAACAGTCACTGCTAAAAGTATGTCTACACCTACTAAATAATAAAATCAATACATCAACGGTTTTTATTATATTCGAACACACAAACATACATACGCATTTGCTTTAAGCATAGCCAGACAKATARTATTTCTATTGCTCCTAATTTCTAGCAGCCGCTGGGCTTCAATTTATGGACCYGCCTTGCCGCCGCTGGTCGCTTCGCCAGACGCTCTGTGTCCTCGCCGCTTGTTGGCCTCTACAATCGCTTGCGTCTAAGTAGTCGCAGCCGCAATTGCCTACAATTATGCAGAGCGYTMGTCTCCGCTGGCGCAAGCACTTGAATGCGAAASCGCACGCCGGCCACCGGCTTGAGAGTTGCAGCGGCTTTGGCGGCCACTTCAATTCTTGTATGCCTTTATGGCAATTTAATCTCAATTGTAGCTACACAATACAATTGATTCGCTTGTCTATTGRCCGGTGAGCAGCTCACGAACGCAATTTGCAACGATGCATTTGCATTTCGTCCACATTTGGCGCTTTGCATTGTGCAAAAAGTGCAACTGGCGGTGTGTGCACGAGTAGTGGCAATTAAAAGAGTCTGACTCTAACTAATTTTCGTTATTCAAAGAATAAAGAAAGAAAATAGAAATGAAATACTAGACTAGGGCAGCTTATTAGGCCATGCGCACGCGAGCAATTTACTTTCATTATGGGCGAGGGCGCGGTGTATTTGCAAATAAGAAGAAAATTGTGGTAAGAGTTTGAAAAAAATTATAATTGTACACGCAAAACATTTTCGCTCTTTTCTGCTCGCTATGTTTGAGTTCTAGTTGAGGTTAGCCAGTTGAATTCAGTACGCAGGTGCAAGTGGATACTTCATTATGGTGGATATACAGTGGTTTAATCGGTCTTGATTAATAAGCAACCCTAGATGCCTCTCCTAAATCCCAAAGATTCACCTAGCCCAAGCATATTGATAAAGTCAAATATTTTGCTAAGTGGTAGCGAAGAGAAACATGGATCTAAGGGCCTTGAACCTGCGTCTACAGACTGCTGTGCAGTCAATTAGCAGGGGTTCTGTTGTATCAAGCTCCCTGTCGCAGAACCGGTAATTTACGCAAGAACCTAAGACCATGTTGTGCAAAAAATKTTGGAAGGAATTCATGCGAATTTTAGCAAACAATAAAATAAGTCGAGTTGAGGTAGGTTATGCCACGTGAGAGTTTAAGACTAATACCCAAGAGTACATTAAGTATACTTAGGGTATAAAATGCGCCATTTGACTGGAATATAGATTGTAACAGTGTTGTCATGCTATTTTTTATATTGAGTTTTGTGGAAAAATACATACAGAAGAAATTATACGGAATTGCTTCGGGAAGACCCATTTCTTTGATAAAAYTAATTGCGAAATTGGAAAGCGATGAATTTCCATGAAAAATATATGGAAAAATCTTTAAAGAAGTGTAGCTATATTTAGCTGTAATTCATATTATGACGCAGCATTGCTCATTTTGGAATTCTGATTTACTAACTATCACATTAGATCACATTAGGAGTCCACTCTGACTATGTGCCACAATTTKTTTATCCGTATTATATTAATCATGCTTTTCTGAAAAAATTTTGATTATGAGTTCTTTAACATTTTAGCTATGGCATCAAAAATAATCGTAATTTTCTCTGAATCTGTGTTCTTTAAATACAAAAATTTTTTGAGTTTCCAACTTCAAGTTCTTAAATAAAATTTAAAAAGTATCTCKGTTGCCTTTTTACCAACAAATACTCTCTGACTAAATTGTAACCTGCCTTTTTAGACGACTTTGAGGACAAACCTGAWTTGGAGAAGCAGCTTAATATCACATTTGATCAGCTACAGATGTTATAATATACTGTCAACTATTTTTTTCTGTTCTGTCGGACGATAAGATACGAATAACTTTCCTGCATCCTTGMAATGTTAACATGATATCATTGGATCGAATGAGAAAAAATGTGATAGAAAAATAATTTTTAGCATTAAAGCGATTTTTTCAGCCAACTCTAACACATTTGGTTAAGGGGTTTCGGTCATAAAACGGGTCCTTGCTGGACTGGTGCGGATCATCCAGAACTTTTCGAATAAATATAAACACATAGATTACACATACATTATAAAAGGCAATTTTTTAAAGAAACTAAAAGTCGGCCTAGCAATAATGTTAAGCAAAAACGGTTTATTATAGCCTGAGCAGAGTATATTAAGTGTGCMAAGAAGTTTGTAACACCCAGAAGAAAAGGACGAAGACCCYATATACAATGTCTGTATACGCGTACCACTTAGTTTTTGAGATRTCACTCTAAAATTTTGACCTCATCCTTTTCGGTTCAAGAAGCTGCATTTGTCGGAACCACCGATATTGGACGACTATTGGGTATAGCTTCCTTGTATGAAAAACTTCTTTATTTGACAATTTATCTGCACAAAATTTAACACGAAGTATTGTTCAGGACGAAATCTCCGAACAAATGATTTAGATCAGTACACTCTGGCATATCGCTGCCATACAAACTGAATGATCAAACTCAAGTTCTTATATGGAACATTTTGTTTTTATTCAACAAGATATCGTTTCGAAATTCGGCGTGGATTATTATCCAAGATAATGGTACAATATTCGAACAAATTGTTCCGATCAGACTACTATAGCATATCGCTGCCCTACAAACTGATCGATCAAAATCAAGTTCTTGCATGGAAATTTTTGTATTTCTGAAGGGTATTCTAACTTCCGGTGCAACCATAGTTAACGTTTTCCCCTGTTTTCTYATAAGAATGAACTTTGATCAGATATTCTGCTTAGCCCTCTGAAATGATTCAGAGTGATTGCAGTAATACAGCGTAAGTATATGCATATAGAACAACTCTAAAGCTGTGAATTTTTATTCAGCACATTAGAACATATTATACATATATGTATATGTATATATGTACATACATTATATAGAAATATTAAAAAAAAAAAATACACACCAATATTTATGGGAGAGTACAGTGAGGAGTAATTGCTCTTCAATCACATAAGCGCTGCGTCACACTTTTATAAAACAAATCACTGTTCGAAACACTGAACATTTGATCTAAACACAACGCTATATATAGAAGCAAATAGTAAATAGGTTGGAATGTACATATGTATGTATGTACGTCGGCCGCACCTAATCATTCATTTATGGCGCCTCGATTGGTCTTAAATTTGCTCAACAATCGACAGTTGCTGAAGTTTTTTTTGATAAATCGATTTTCAATTGCTTTATATACATATGTATATACATACATATATATGTATATACTATGATTCACAAATTAACACAAAGAATAAATTTATAAATAAATACATAAATAAATAAAAGTGAAATAAGTAACAGCATGTTAAACATAGCGCAACATAGAGTCTAGGTTAGGTGAGAAATAATCGCAAGTATAAAAAAAAATTACATCACAGTTACGTTTGGCGCTGATTGTGACTTATAATCGTTATTCATAGGTATATATGTAATTACATACGTACATATATATATGCATGGTAGAGGTATATAGAATTATGCTCTCTATATATTTGGCAATTGGGCGGCGTCCCATACGAGCAATTTAGCCGGTTAAAGGAGCGGTATTTCACGAGGAAAAAAGTAGAGCGAGCAGCAAGCAAATATGTATGGCTGATAAGATAGCAGCGAGTAGACACATAGCACACGCACATACATACATACACATGTATGTAAACATACATATAACATGTGGTGTTGCCCTATCATAAGAGGCTTTGGAAATATACATAGTTGACGCAAATAATTAAGAAGCTAGTGCAAAAATAGAAATAAGAGCATATAAGCACTTAAGCAAATAAGTCACAAAGTCACAAAGAGGTAAATGTTAACACAACTTCGCGCCGCATTTGCATGAACTCACGTAACATGGCGCACAGGCACATGTGATAAGTGCCCAAAAAGTGTAAAATAAAGTAAAAAAAATTTGGAAAGATTGCCAAAGTTGGAGTGCCTATTCCATCTTCGCGCTAATTCAGCAGCGATTGCATAAGTATATCACATTCTTGCTTTCAAATTAATTCCTAACCGAGGTTTGGGAGGAGCATGACTAGCGGTAAAAAAAAAAAATCACTGATTGACTTCTAGGAATCTGCAATGCCTCTCCAACTTTGTTGTGAAATCTTTTTCTGCATTTCATGTGCTTCTGACCCAAAAACACGGTACCGACTACAGCAAGTACTGCTGCAATGACTGCGTGTCTTTGCGACAAGTTCATTAATCAAAGGTCAATGTACGCCTGAGGAATTAACTAAACATTCGAAAGCACAAAGAAATTTGGCAGAGCTACATACATACATAGATATGCATGTATGTACATACATAGCTGTATGTGTTCGTAGGAATGTAGACCGTACCGCCATGTTGACAATCGTTTTGTCGAGTACGCACTGATAGCNAGAGTACAGTGAGGAGTAATTGCTCTTCAATCACATAAGCGCTGCGTCACACTTTTATAAAACAAATCACTGTTCGAAACACTGAACATTTGATCTAAACACAACGCTATATATAGAAGCAAATAGTAAATAGGTTGGAATGTACATATGTATGTATGTACGTCGGCCGCACCTAATCATTCATTTATGGCGCCTCGATTGGTCTTAAATTTGCTCAACAATCGACAGTTGCTGAAGTTTTTTTTGATAAATCGATTTTCAATTGCTTTATATACATATGTATATACATACATATATATGTATATACTATGATTCACAAATTAACACAAAGAATAAATTTATAAATAAATACATAAATAAATAAAAGTGAAATAAGTAACAGCATGTTAAACATAGCGCAACATAGAGTCTAGGTTAGGTGAGAAATAATCGCAAGTATAAAAAAAAATTACATCACAGTTACGTTTGG